CCCCAAGAAGGAGAAAATCCTTAAGGGGTGGCAGTTGGTTAATATAAAAGAAAGTCATACCATTCTATAGATGGAGATGACTGTTCCTCATCCTCTATGTACAGATGCAGTCTGATAACATAACCAGCACTGAATTTACTTTGAAGCTAATGAAGTTCGGGTTTAGGTCTCTGCACCCGCATGGGCTTGACCCTAATTTTATATTCACAATTTGGTATTCTTGCATTGAAAAGAAGCCCCATAAGTTATATCAACTTCAGGCCCCACAAAACCTGGATCCACCCCTGATATAAACCAATTGAATTTAAATTCAAGAAGGGAGTTCACCATTTAAAGGACTCTTGAAGTCAATTCTTAGGTTAAACAGAGGCTTTTTCTGGATATGAAATACTATCCTCCGCCAACTACGAGGAAAATTAGACCAAATGCTCTGAACAGGATTTCTCAAAACTTAAAAGATTTGATCAATACGTACATAGAATAAATAGATTCCTACTTACACACCAGTCCACTAAATTCCAGGTGGATTAAAAATTCAAACCTATAAATGAAAATCCACAAAAATACCAGAACAAAATATAGGACATGTGTATAACAACAGTTGGTGAAGCCATTCTAAAATCACTCAAAACTGGGGCGCCTGGGTGGCTCAGTTGGTTAAGCGACTGCCTTCAGCTCAGGTCATGATCCTGGAGTTCCGGGATCGAGTCCCGCATCGGGCTCCCTGCTCAGCAGGGAGTCTGCTTCTCCCTCTGACCCTCCTCCCTCTCATGCTCTCTGTCTCTCATTCGCTCTCTCAAATAAATAAATAAAATCTTTAAAAAAATAAAAAAATAAAATAAAATAAAATAAAATAAAATCACTCAAAACAAAAAGATTGACAAGTCTGGTATGTGTAACAAAAGATAAAAGGTTAACACCCATACTACATGGAGCTCCTATAAATCAATTAGAAAAAGATAAACAATACACTAGAAAAATGGGCAAGCTGTAAACACTTGATTCACAGAGGAAAGAAATACAAATCACCAGTAAACCTGTGAAAAGATTCTCAGCCCGCACGGTAATCAGGAAATGAAAACTTAAAAAAACAACAAAAAAACCTCTTTTTCTGTCAGATTAGCAAAAATTTTGAAGGACTGATAGCATCCACTGTTGATGAGGATATAGTAAAACAGGTATTCTCATATGCTGTTAAATTAGGACAAAACTTTCAGAGGACAATTTGGCCAAACATAATGTTTTTTATTCCGATAAATTAAAAAATTCACCGTTTTAAGCATACAATTCCATGGTTTTTAGGATATTCAAAATGTTGTACAACCATCAACACTATCTAATTCCAGAATATTTCCATCACCCCAAAAAGAAATCCCATACCCCTTAACAGTTAAGTCCTGATTTCCTCCTCCTTCCAGCCCCTAGCAGCCACTAAATCTACTTTCTGTCTCTATGGATTTGCCTATTCTGGACATTTCATGTAAGTGGAATCACATAATAGGCAGCCTTTTGTGCCTGGCTTCTTTCACTCGGCATTATTTAAATTTTAAAGGTTCTTATCCTTCAGCCCAGTTATGCCATTTCTTGGTATTTATCAGAACAGAAAGACTGTTCATATGTGCCCAAAGAGGCATATTCAAAGATGTGCACTGGATTCGTTTAAATAATAGAAAAAAAAACAAACCTACATATCTATCGATAAAGAGACATTTAAATAATCCACAGTCCCTCCTTTTCAGGAAATACGGTTCGGTAGTTTAAAAATGAAGTGGGACGGTCTGATAGTTTTAAGTAAAACAGACACGCCGTATGGGAGTTCCTCTGGAGTAACCACCTAGAAGTGGAATTTCGGGGACTCGGGGATGCGGTGTCCCCTCACCTGATGGGCTCTTACCGCATCCAACGCTCTACAAAGGTCATGCCAGTTCATAGTCCTTTTCCACCAGCAAATGAACTCAAACGACACTTCTCTCCTATTCACTACTAATCCTTGTCAACCTTATGGGTTTGAAATGATACGTCGGTGTTGCTTTAACTTTTCTTTTTCCTGAGCACCAGCGAGATTGAACATCTTTTTGTATTTATTGACCATTCTCACGTTCTCTTCTATAAAGTGCCTGTTATGCATGCCCTTTGTACCCACTTTTTTTGCTGTCTTTTTCTCATATACTCAAGAGATCTTTATATTCAGGGATATATCCGCAATGCTGCTCATAGAAATCTACCTTAAGTGGAAAAATCTTTTGCACATGTACACAAGGACTCATATAAAAGGATTTTCGGTAAAGCACTGTTTCTGATAGGAGGAAAAAGGAGAAACTAAACTTATCTCTCCCTTAAAAGGGGGATGGATCAGTAAATTAGGTTTACTCATCAATGGCCATCACATAGCAATTAGGATCAATGAGCGACATCTACACATACAACATGATACATCTCAAAATCAATGTTGAGTGGGAAAAAATATCAATGTCTAAAAGTATAAGCCAAAAATGGGGGGGGGTATGCAAAGTATAGCACCATTTATATTCAACTTTTACCCCCTGGATATTTTCAAGTTGGTCTTCTCCCATGCAAATGACCAATGCCCAAGGTGTGACCCTCAGAGCCTCTCACCAAGACTACCACATAGCCCTCAACAGGTCTCCCTGCTTCCAAACCTGCCTCACTCCAATCTGTCCTTCACACAGCCACCAAAGGATCTGTCTAAAATATAAACCCTTCACTGGCTCTGCACCACCCACACAATAAAGTTAAGACCCTTTATGATCTGGCCCCTTATAGACCTCTCCAGCCTCAACACTTGCCACTCTTCACCTATACTTTACATATACCCAACTTCTTAATTGCTTTTTAGCACTCTGTCCCTAACTTGCATCAAAGAGCACCAAGAAACACTAAGCCTCTTCTCCCACCATTCGTTTCTCTCTCTGAAAACTAGGAGTCTATAGGCCAGTGCTGCAAGACTGGTAAATTACATACCATTCTCTCCCAAAGTCACTTTTAATAAGAACACATTTCAAACACCAAAATCCAACAGGTGCTTTAAAACATTGCAAAATGGTTTGGTATGCCATATGACTGGACTAAAAAAAAAACAAAAACCACCAAACTCAGCTCAGACTTTTGATTCAAACATTCAAACATAACTCAAACTCTAACCAAGAAATATGGTTCTTGTTAACTGAACCATGTGATTAATATTTGTATTTATACTTTGAGGGTAATTGTTTCTTTATGCTTTGGAATTAGCTGTGTCTGTATCATTCGAACAGCTGAAATACTGTAATGAATACATTTGTGCATAATTACATTCCATGTGTTAATGAGCCTGAGTCCCTTTCCGTAACCACTCTTCTAAAGTTCCTTTCTGTTTCAGAAGGGTTGTGGAAGAAAACAAACTGAATATGACGGAAGGAAACCAGTATGGTTTGCTGAAAAGTCTGGACTTATGTGACCCTATAAATGAATCTGGAATTTGGTGAAAGGCAGTGCATGCTACCCAGAGACCTCCCTCACACGCTACACAGGGAGGGCAAGAGCAGAGTACTGAGTTAGGCAACCCAGACCCTAGGGTTCTCATCCTGGCTCTACTCTCTCATTCCATTCTGCTCAAATCCTGTCCATCAAGAAGTGGGCTATAAATTCCATTAAAAAAGAATTAACATAAAGTATTTACGACTTTAGACAAATTACTAATCCTTTCTGAGCCTTAAATTCCTCATCTGCAAAACGGGCATAATAGTCTCAAGCTGTGGCTCATGGAAAAGACTATACTGAGTACCGCACGAAATGTTCATGTGTAACACTTTGTGAAACTGTAAAACATCATAGGTGTGTAAGATCTTATTAATACCATAATCAGAGATTCTTTTTTTATATTAACCAACAGTCCTAGCAACTGGAAGCACGTTATAATAATCCTTAGTTTCTCCAATGCAGACCTGAAGCCATAGATTACCTTTATTTGTAAGATTCTGAAAATTTACACCGGAAAAAACAGAACATCCTCCTCCATATGAACCACATATGCTGTCTGTGAATCACTTTCATCTCTAAATTAGTAGGATCCAAATTAGTAGGGCTTTCCTACAGTGAAATCTGTTTAAGCAAACATCTGCTGGTTCCCTGAAAAGTTGTGTTTTTTTCCACAGGTGGCCTTTGAATTTGTGGCCCAAAATCCATGCAAAGGAAATGTAGCCTTTGAGACTGAAGCCCTTCAAAGGGAGGTAATGTCCTTAAGAGCTTGGGTCTCCTCTCAGCTGGGGAGAAAGCCTGCTAAAAAGGAACTCGGTTCTGGGCCAGGAAGTGCTCGGATTTGATGAGAGTGACAATGACCGCTTCATCACTGTCAGGGCAATACTGACTGAAAGGACACATTTTTCCTGTTATTAATATTCTTAATCAAGGCATAAAAGGAAGCATATGTTTTAGTTGAATCAAGGCCCATTTTCTGTTTTTTTCAATTACTCATTTTTCTGGGCAGTGGAATAGGGGAGGCACAAAACACAATCCCAAAGCCATGAATTCTGCCCTTAGCTTTACCCAAGATTGTCCAAATGACCTTGGGCAAATTGCTAAGAGCAGATACTCGCTTTCGTGTCTATATCTGTGACAGAGTCAACAATCCCTCCTCAGGCCTGATGGATACTCAGCAAATATTAGACGAGTCATCAAATGATAGAATTGATTCTGGTGCTTCTGTTAGTCTAACCAGCAAGAACAGACTTTTTCTCCGCCACCCCCCCCTCCCCCCGCCAAGTGACAGGCCAGTCATTTCCTGGCTTTGATCTGAAATTGTATTAAGCTACCCAAAAAAAGTGGGCTAAGAAGTTCAGAGTGTCTTATTAATTTTTATAACACCACAGGGAAATGGCTTTGTGGACACCTCTAACGAAAAAGGAAAATAAAAATGGAAAAGATTATGCAAAATCACAAAAGTAAGGAAAGTGCCCCAATTCTGGGGACTTTTCCTTATGCTGCCGTGGGAGGTAGGAAGCAGGAGGACCAAATACAGGGGGGGTATCTGAGGGACACGAAGCACCCCTGACTGACCCTGTAGTTGGTCTTTTTTTTATGTTTTATTTACTTTTTTTTTTTTTTTTTAGTTGGTCTTATGAAAACAGAGAGGACAAAACACAAGAGCGGTGGTCTCCCTCACCACCACTCCCAATCCGCAGTGACTTCTCTATGAATGACTCACCGGCAGCTCAACTGGGCTCAGGGTGCCAAAGGACCTGACGTACCGAGCCATGAGCACAGCAAGCATGCCCATCAGGGGTGGATGAAGGAAGGCATGCTCTAGGTAGCAGTGTGGTTCCCACACACAGGGTGGCTGGTCCTTAGAAGATGAGTTTGGGGCCTTTTTGACCTAAAGGCTATAGTCTGGCTCAAACTGGAGACCATAAGTTCATTTTCCTGGGTTAATAAAAAGTCCAGTGACTGTAATTAACCACATGTGTGTAATGAGATTACAAAGACAGACAATTCACCATAATTCTCACAAGATTATACAGAATCTGGGACAGTGATTATGGTTTCCCCAGCCCACAAGTCCTAAACATCTCCCTCCTGGGGAAAGTCTCTCTGAAGCCTAGAAAACCCAAAGAAACCAAAGACTGGAGTGATTCCCGTGACACACATTAATGCCAAGGAGGAAGGCACTCTCCTTCTTTGAGCCTACCTTGGCCTGGACGGCGTAAGAAGCCAGGAGCACAGAAGCCTCGGGAGGGCAGTAGATCTTTTCATCTAAAATCTGCTTCTTTACCTAAAAGGGGCAACAAGGGAGACATGACACTGTGTGCGCGGAAGTGAGCTGTACATGCTGGTCACAGCAGATGGCTGCAGGGTGTTCTAATTGAGGGCTGCCAAACCAGCCTGTTAATTTTCTGACAAAGGGTACAATTTTTTTTATTGTTGCAGCCAGGTTGGGAGTAGTTATTGGTAAGATGACTACGCATTAAAAAAAAAACCCTTATCTCTTCTGTTCACGATCCTTTTCCTGAAGGGGAAAAACACTTTTCATGGTTAAAACAGAGACTGCTATCTGGACTGTGACAGAGGGGAGCTGTGAATTCCGGAAGTGTGAGGAGCAGCTCTGCTGGTGATTGGGGCCTCAGCCCCTGCTGAGCACACACAGCACTAGAGGAAATGGAGTCTACTTTAAAGTCTTTACACAAGACAAAAGTCAGCAAGGCCACTGAGTTATGACTGCAGGAAAAAAAACCCATCACGTTCAAAATGCCTGCTCTAAGGGAAAAGGAAGCAATAAAGTTTGATCGATTAAACTTTTAAGTACATGTGAGGTCCAGGAAATATAATTCTTAAGCCATAATGTCGAATTAACATATCTCATTGCATTTAACTTCTTAGAATGATGCAGCGTGTGATGTTGCAGACACAGAGGCAAGAGGGCCTCACCAAGCAGGGCACACTGAAATAAACAGAACAGGAAAGCCAACTTTCTTTTCACAGATATCAACACTCACCAGATTCATAGACGTAGTAAATGTTGCCTTGCTCAGCCACGAAACACTCCAATTTTTCAGTATGAGGGAAAAATAAGCCAAAGTCACATGAGGGATGGGCACTGCTTCTAAGCGCCATCTCGGTAACGCTAGCACATTCTGGGGCCTCGGAGATCATTATGCGGTTTTATTCAAAGCAGCGCAACTTTCTAATCCCTTGGTTTCTTTGCAAAGGGGGAAAAATCCACACTACAGAAAAACTGAGGGGGTTTCCCTTTGAAGGAAAATGTTAGGGATGGGGATATATACATATATATATGTAAATATATACGTCACTTTTTTGTAAAGTAAATTATTTGGGGGTTTTACTACATTTAACTTAATATTTACTGAACATACCAATCTGAAGCTCAAACTAATTAGACGAGGACTATGTGACAACATACATACATCTACTTCCAGGAAATCACGTCACTAATGCCCCTGTGCAATCTTCTCTGTTACTGACAATAAGCACCCCTGGGCACACAAGCAGCTCCAGCACCAGTCACTGCAACTAACCACGAAACTGAGGCAGAACTCTGATCAAGCAATAAGAACACCAGCAAAATTGACCCCGACTCACTGTGCCCCCAGACGGCCAACTAGCGGTCTTTGAACCCACAATTCCAGAGCTCCTCATTTCTTCAACTCGGTTGAGCAGTTACTTTTGGAATGCCGACTGGGCACTTGGTGAGCCTTGCCTGTAAGGGGCTTACACTCTAATGAAGGAGCGGGAGATGAATAAGACATTTAGAGACAACGGGCAGCATGAAGCACCATGTCTGAAGTTCCACATGTGTAGGATTAGTCACATGGAGTTAAACTCCAACTCACTGGAGTTCTGAAGTCCTGTCTTAATGACAGCAGATTTCAAACTTTTGGAATAAGTACTCTTTCTAAGACTCTCTCTTTGGACTTCCTTTGTAACTACTAGGTACTTTCCACACAGCGACAAGAAAACAGGATCCATCTTCAAAGAGGCTTCAAGTCAGGTACCCCTTCTTACACTACCAAAGTTTTGCCATTTCATATGACACCAATTCACATCTCTCAAGTATAGTTCTATTCTGAAGATTTTTCCCCTCCATTACGGGACCAAAGGGACTGACTTCCCAGAGGCAGAACATTTTCACAATGCGAAGGCATCTGTGGTCAACTCCGAGGGGGTCATCCAGGCTGCCTTGGCAACCAGGCCTGGGTGAGTTCTCTCAGAACAAGCGGGGCTAGCACGGACTGGTGTACCTGCAAGAAGAATAAATGTTGCGTGATCTCCTGAACCAGCTCCTCCTCGGCATTCTCAGGGTAAAATTTGGCCAGGAAGTGAAAGGTGACTGGCTCTTCCTTTGAAACATCATGATCCAGCACCTGCACAATTACAGAGCAAAAGAACAAGCTATGTTGGCACCTATTCCTCCCCTGCCACCACCAAAGAACCTTTTTCAGGGACATATAAATATTTTTCCCTCTCCAAATTCATCACATTTCCCAAAGGTTACGATCTTACAGTTTGAAGCATTCACAAAGCCATCTATAACAAGGGGTAATGTTCACCTCACATGGCGTTTCTGAACCAAATTAATCAATATCCTCAAGGGGTGAGTGGAGCTAAGATTATTAAGGCACAGATGTTCTCAAGGCCACAGAGATAGTTAAAAACTAGAAATTTATAGCTCAAAGGTCTTGGGCACTATCCTTTACAGTAGGCTGAAGGTTTTTTTAATTTTCTGAACTCATGGGAATCTTCCTTTATTCTTTTTTCTTCCTGCCAACCCCCAACGTTTAGGTCCATATTGGGAGGGAGCTTAGAGATGATGAACCTCATCTTTGTGAAATCCTCTAAATATTAACTGAGCAACAAAAGTGAAATGTGTCCATGGTGGCAACCCTTTGTTTCAAGGAACCTCCAGAGATGCCCTACAAAATACTTGAGCACAGTCAGTAAACCACTGGCTTTAATCTTCGAACAATTTCATCCACCCACTGAAAAGCCTGAACCATCTGCTCTCCAGAATGAATTTCATTTCAGGACATAAACATGCCATGTGACAGGCTACAAGGCTCCATTAACATGTGTCATAATTTATTTCCTTTGAGCAGCAAGGTTCCTTGGCTCCTGATGCCCCCAATCTAATATCCATTTGGCCAATACTCAGGTATGATTTAAAATTTACTTTGCGGAGAATCACAAAAAGATACAGAAAGTTTTGCTGTCTTAGGCAGATAATTCTTCGTGCTCCTGCCCAAATTCCAGGTGGTAACGTCCAGGAGACCCAAAATAAACCAGATCTAGGACTCTCTCACTGATATCGGCACATGGTGGCACTCTGATGCTCATGACCATTGGGAATTACCATACGAAATTTATAACCAGCGGAGATTCCAACATGAAGATTCAGATTACTGTGTACAGATGGAAACACAATTTGAACACTTGAGCTTAGAGTCAAACTTATAAAAAACAAACAAACAAACAGGAGGCGTTCATTGTCTATCACGCCATGCAGCAGATGATAAAATCAATTGCAGAGGGTATTGACTTACTTTGAGATCTAGGGGTCTTTTAGGGGCTACTAACAAAAAAAAAAGGCCCTGTTCCCAAACATCTTCATGGTTAGGTAAGCAGATAAGTAGGTAAGTGTGCCTTCATGTGTGTGCACACATGAATCCATGCAGACAGCAGTTTCCTTAGGTAATATCCATTTCTAAGCCACATTAGAACTGCCGGGAGCCCCAACTTGTCTTCCAAACCTCAGAAGGCCCAGAGAATCATAAAGAAAAAACGGACATTGTTTCTTCACCAAAGGAAGTGGGGCACTCTCTATTCCTTGGATCATGTTAATGACTAAATTGAACTGGGCCACAGTGTTTCTCAAAAAAGACTTAAACATTCCCTAAAGAACATGAGTCCCAGGCAAATCTTTCAAAGACATAAACTATTTAAAAAAAAAAAAAGGATAATAATGTAATAGTAATTTTTATTCATAAAGCCTGACTAGTGGTTCAATAAATTGAATAGCATAAAGCCAGAAGCAATCAGCCTGGTGACGATGAGTAAAGAAGCCAGGGAGGGCAACAGCTTCATCCTGGTTGGTTCTGCTGGCCTAGGAGGAGCAGAAAGCCTGTGGCATCTCTGGGACCTGTTCTCTACACAACTTACTTCAGGACTTGCCCCCTTCTCTACTGGGTGTCCCTAGTGCCCCATGATGAGCAAAGTAGCTAGGCACATGCTCAGGGAAAAACCAGAGCACACACCAGCCTCACTGGTCTCATCAAGTTCCAGCCCAACCTTCTTGTCCATTTTGAGCCAGGCCACGGTGTCCTTGATCGTGTACTGCAGTCCAAAGAACCAAGTTTCCCGAAGCCCCAGGGTCCGGCACACCAAGTCAAACAGGTCCTTCCCTTTCCACTTCATCTGCAATATAACAGACCAACAGGGAGGGTATTGTGAGCAAAAGTCATAATCCGCTTGAACAAAAACCTTTTCTCTGCACTTCCTGCTCTCGGGTTCTAAAATGTGGGGATGACACTAAGATGGCTGATGAGCACAGAATTCCTAAATAATTTTAAAGCTTCCTACACAAACCGTGAGTGGGAAAATACCAATTAGAGCTTAATGGCTTAATCACTGCAAAGCATACACAATACCTCCCTTGGACAGTTCCTTACAGATCTTAATATCCCCAAAGCTGCTAATTTAGGAAAGCTGGTAAATAAGCATCCTCATTTAGGAGAGTCTAGCCTCTTGAGTTAACCCAGGGAGATGGCTAGCTTCTAGGACATTAATTTCTTTGAGACTTTGTCGTTGATTTTTTTTTTTTTTTTAATCATGACACTGTCCTTTGATAAAAAGCTACTGGGTTTTTGTTTTGTTTTGTTCTGTTTTAAAGACTAGTTTCACTGGAAGTTTTTTTTAAAAAGCAACAGAGGGGAGTAACTTGTAACTGAAGTCATAAATCACGCACAAAAAGAACCATTAGCTACCAGTCAGCCCAACCACACATCTCTCCTATCCTGATACGTAACTGAGGCCAAAGGAGAGGTGACTCAGCCACAGTCACACGGAGCAATTTCAAACTCTTGGTATCTAAACCCAGGGGATGAACAGACACCAATATACTGCAGCACGCTTATCCTACAGTTTCACTTTCTGAAAGGACCTAAAGCAATGGCTGCTAAACCCTTTTCTCAGCTTTTCAATCTGAGAAAATGGAAAAGCAAGTTCAACATCTTAATGAGAAGAAAATGCCCAGCCACTTAGTAAATGTTGCCACCTTGTGGCTTCCAAGTTAAATCACCCAGGATGTCCCACACTAGCCCCCTAGCTGGGCTCACCCCCCAGCCTCATCACCCCCTCCCCCCTGCATCTGGTGGACATTCAGATATACACCGGGCACAGTTGTGAGCACATGAGACACATCCCAGAGATGGAGGTCAAAGTAAGAATAATTTGGGGATTCAAATGCAAAATCGCCAGACACAGGAAGGGCAAGACCACTCGACTGCAGAAGCATCTGTCCTTCTCCTGCCCTCATTAGAAATCTTCTCCCAATGTCCTGGCACACGGAAGGTGCATAATGAAAAGGAAAGGGAGAAAATTTAGGGTTTAGAGACATGTTATAAAAGCAAGAAGGAAAAACTAAGTTAGACCTCTGATAACTGATTGGCTTTTGCTAAAACCTGATTGTACAGAGGATCTTTCAACTAGGCCTTCTATTTTTAATATATATGAATGAACAGTGTGTTCTCTACGAGGTACTCAACAGGAAAGCCCAACCCTTCTCTGTGTTTACAGTCAAAGAGCAAAGTAGCAAGCTAGATGGAAGGGCACCAAAACCGCAGCAGACAAGTGGCTGAGATGAATTGGCTTTTGTCCTTTACTGGGGCCATTTCTTCTGTCTGCCCTTCCAGCTTTGCCCCATCACCTCTCCGGGACTTTGGTGAGGCCCCTGGAACACTCCAAAGGTTGAGGTCTTCAGAAATGATTTTGAGTAGAATAAAATTAAATGACAAGTTTTATTAAAAAAAAAAAAACAACAACATGATCTCCTTCCCCTTCTGTAAGGCTTACTAAATGTTTGTCAGCACACGCATTTCTCCAGTCTGACAATAGCACAAAGGGTTTTTTACTTTTTTTTTTAAGATTTTATTTATTTATTTGAGAGAGAGAGACACAGTGAGAGAGGGAACACAAGCAGGGAGAGTGGGAGAGGGAGAAGCAGGGCAGGGAGCCCGATGTGGGGCTCAATCCCTGGACCCTGGGATCATGACCTGAGCCGAAGGCAGACGCTTAACGACTGAGCCACCCAGGCGCCCCACAAAGGGTTTTTTAATTCAAGGCAGGTTTTTAATTCCTACAGGCAGACTTCACTGAAGAAATGTTACTTTGGAAAACTAGAAGCTTCGGGATGCTGATTATCCTCCTGTCTCTATTTTAAGCCAGTACACAGTATATAAATTATAAATGACTACCTTTCTACAAGATAATGTAACGCTAAAGCACAGATATTAACTTGGAGAAGTGAAATACCCAAGGGCCAGGAAGATCACAGCATCGATTCCCAGGCTGCCATAACTCCCGGCCACAGCGGGGCCAGGCCCGGCCACGGAGGGGCCGTCCACAAGCTGGATGTGCAGTGCATCTGAACCAAAGCTGCGAAGAGGATGATGAGCGAATTTCTTGACTTTGGGGGAGTTTAAATTCTCAAGCATAGTATCATATTAATGCAGTTTTCCTGTATTCCTTTCTACTTCTTTGTTTTTAAAATGCAAAACGATCCTTGCCAAATGGGAATAGACAATGTCTTTGGTTCCCAAGAAGCTTGCAATAAAGTGAGGAGGGGGGGAAAAGTCTCAAACCAATTCAGAATGCCCTATTCAAGATTCTTAACTTTGACTGTAAGGATCATAGAATGTCAGAGTCAGATGTGAGCCAGAGTAACTACCTACTGTAGACCCTTCCCTTTAAGTATAAATAAGGAAACTGAGTCACAGATTCTTTGGCAGCTTTCTGAATCAGACACTGTCCTGGTGATCTAAGGTAGGCAGCCCCTTCAGTTCCTCAATGGCCTCTTTTCCTGCTCTGAGGGCTTCCATTTGTCTTGCTCTATACCAGCACTCCCCAACCAACTTTTCCAGTAAGAAACTGATGTCATAATACTTCTCTTGCCCTGAAACCAAACCCATTCTTGGAAGAGCCAGATATTGCTCCTTTACAGCTCAATGTGAATTAAAGCCTCTGCTCCCTCTCTTTCAATAAGCACTACAGAGTACATCCTATGTGCCCAATGTCAGACACGGAGAATGCAAAATGGTGGACTCGTGGTCCCTGTGGGAGACACAAGCAAGGACCTAAGTCAGAAAAGGCTTTAGGGGCGCCTGGGTGGCTCAGTCGTTAAGCGTCTGCCTTCGGCTCAGGTCATGATCCCAGGGTCCTGGGATCGAGCCCCGCATCGGGCTC